ACCCTGATGATATGAGATACTTTTGATTTTGAAGAAGTAGCAGGTGAATCGGCACGTGCTTTGTTGTGCTTGTCTCCACATGCTTCAATATATCATTTTCCCTTGCCTTATCTGTTCTTCGGGCATATGTGGTGTCTTCTCTGGAAGCATAAGATGTTGAGATAATGGGTACTTCGAGAGTAGTGCTAGGTAAGCAATCAGGGAAGGGTTCCAAGCAGTCACTTCCTGACTGGGAGTTTGACACCAAGTGCTGGCTGATTGCTTTTTTTCCCTCTTTGTCCCGCAGGTAAGAACAAGGACAAAGAAAATGACAAAGAGAAAACATGATATGAAATACTCTTGCTTTCGAAGAAGTGGTGGCGATTTGATAGCGTTGCATATCGAGGCTTTGCTCTTCGGCAATGGTGCCATCAATATGTTGTTGAAGCTTCTCGAGCTCTTGGATTCAACTGAGACTCCTCCTGCTGGGTTGATTGATTGTGCAGGGAAGGGGAGACTTGATTTTGAAGGAAATCAGCACGTTGTCTCCACATGCTTCAAGGTATCATTTTCACTTGCCTTATCTGTTCTCCAGGCAAATGTGGCATCTCCTTGAGTTCCTCAACTCAGATTCCTTCTGCTGAGTTGACTGTGCAGGCTGCATTCTTCTCTGCTTGTTTCTTCTGCACGTTGTCTCCACATGCTGTAAGGTATCATTTTCACTTGCCTTATCTGTTCTTCAGGAAGATGTGGCAGCTTCTTTGGAAGTACAGCAGCAGTGGAAAACGAGTATTGAGAGCAATACCATGTAAGCAACCAGGCCAAGGTTCCAGGTAGTCAATTCCTTACCTGGGTTTGAGTGGAGGTTCCGGCATATTGCTTTCTTTATCCTTGTCTTTGCAGGTAAGAACAAGGACAAATGAAAGGACATGGAGAAAGCATGATATGAGATACTCTTGCTTTCTACTCTGGTGATATGAGATACTTTTGCTTTGGTGTCATTTGTTTGCAGAGGTACCCCAAGGAATAAGGAACACTGAGTGACTCGAGAGGCTTCATTGGGAAGGCATTCTGGAAGATGAAGAAAGGTTCTGTATATTTGTCTTGCTATGTAGGGTGAAGGTGGACAGTTATAGGAAGTTATTTAATACCTGTAGAGGTACTATTCTTTCACTCGTGTCGGTAACCATTGAGTTATTGATTAGTATGGCTTCACGTGCTTTCTTTTTTATCAGAAATCTTCGACAAATTGTCCGTAATTTCCGCCAAGCTGAGTGTGCATGTGACAGGTGTTGACGAGGCTGAAAAAGACTGGCGTCTCTTCGATATCTGGGATCGGCGCTTCGACAAATTACCCGTGAATTCTGCAAAGCTGAGTTTGCGTGTGATGGGTGCTAACGCGTCTGGAAAAACAAGATACCTTTCCGATTTCCTAGCTTGCCTCTTCGATTTTTGAATTGGCCTCTTCGAATTCTGAGTTCGCCTCTTCGATCTCTGAAATCCCGTCGAGTGCTGATTTTTATAGAGGCACGCAGTACGTTCAAAGCACACTTGAATTTCTGCTTGTAGAAACTCCCTTCTTGCATTTCTACGATCTTGACTTGTCCGACCTCTTCTTTCTTTAACATCCCTGAAAATGTCTGGCCCCTCTGACCGTCGTTTTGATAGGATTTTTACTACTCATGTGAACGGGCTTAAATCTCCTATTTTACTTGCAAGAATCACAAGGTTATTGTAGTATAAACGGATCTCGCAAGGTCGTCTCCACAGGGATTATTAAATAATTTGAAACTAATCAGATTCCATTTAATTATTGTAAAGTAGAAATTGAGGTGATTGATTTTATAACCTAATTAAAATAAAACGAAATTAATGACTTAAAATAAACAATCTGCAATATTAGAGCCGGAGAGAAAAGAAAACAGTTTTGGGAGAATAAAATTAAGAGAGCACTAGGGTTCCACCATCACCTAGCAATCCTATGAATTTTTACCCATTACTTATGATCTATACATGCCACTTTGAAGGTTAGATTTTCCTAATTCATATTCTACTTGGAACCTCCAACATATAACGTATATCTAACATGCAACCCGTCCGGACGTTCGGATCAAATTTGAACATGAAAGACTCATTATGCTTTATGAAAATCCTTTGAAAAACCATGCAATCCTTAAAACGTGATATTCATCCTAAGTGAAATTACAATTATTAATCACAAGAAGCCAGCGTCAATTTCAGGGAACCTTCCGACCAAAATTGCATCAAATTACTTTTCTAAAGATCCTAATGGTGATCAGGCATTAAGACAATTAGATAGTTTTTATCCCGGAGATTAACAATTCAAAGTATGCATACAATCAATCATAAGCAATTAAATAAAAATCACATATTCATGCTAAGGCTGAAGACTTCACCCTAGCAAAAGAAATTAGTTCCGCATACTCATAATTGAAATCATAGAAAATATATTCAAGAAAAGGATTGAAAGCACCTTCAAGTAAAAAGTCTCCAAAACCCTAACAAATCTCTCTGTCTCCAAAATTGCATAAAAGAAGCGTAGTCCAAAATTGTATACGGCCAAGCAATATATCTGCCAAGCCTCCCACCAAACCTTAGGAAAACTCTAATTAAAATAAAAAAAAAATTATCCATTCAAATAGGAAACATAACCCTAAATTAAATGGTAAAATTCGCCTAAAATCTGAACAGCCACGTTTTGGACCCATAAGCTGCTCCAAAACTGGTCCAATATAGCTGGATTTAATATTTGGAATATTCTGAACACTTTTCCAGAAGGCCACGAACCCATCCGAGGTCATCTTGGGCTCCAAAAACGCAATTTAACCCCAAAAACGTCATTTTCTAGCACTGCGCACTGCTTCTTTATTTTATCGCCAGAAAATAACCGCTTGGTGGAAAAATCCCAAATTTTGATACGATCAAGCTAAGTGACTCACGAACGTCCTCGAACTGGAATTACTCCAAAATTCGTCCATTTGATCCTTTTTTTCTCCAGAGGAAGTCGAAAGTCCTATATTGATAATACAATTCAAAGTATCAAAATTCTTCCAATATATTAACAAAAATATACTAAGATTAGGGTAAAATATATAATATAAAATCTACTCATCAAATACCCCCAAACTTAGCTTTTTGCTTGTCCTCAAGCAAAACAAGACTCAAACAAAAATAAAAACTTAACAAACTAGACAACTAGCTAAAACTCAACCAAGACAAAACTTCCACCTTCAAGTTGCAATCCATAGCAAATTTTAAAAACTAGAACATCTTTTCAAAAGTTCCAACCAATCTCACCACAGAGTCTAAGCCATTTAGAATCAATTAGAAAAGAGTTCACAAACTTTATTTGGTGTAAAGTGAACCACATAGTTAAGGAGACTCGACTAAAACCCTTATCTCTCGTCCTTCTTTATTTCACACATATTAACTTTAAGTATAACTATTGTTCTTTTTCTTTTCAATTTTTTTATTTTTTTTTATTTTTTTTTTCTTTAGTAACAGTAGTGGTCGTGCAATGTCGGTTCACTTAAGCTTTCAATCCAACCTATGTAGCGAGCTTTAGGTCAATGACTCCCAAACCACTAGGGCTTTAGGGCACTAGGTGTAGAACACCCCTAAGGACTTATTAACCCGAGCTGAAAAGGCTACGAAACCAACTAACCACCCTGCCCCATGCCAAAACTCTACCGTTTGACGCGAGAATCACTACTGATTAGGCAGGACTGGCCCGGTTACTAGGCAAAACCTCGGGTGAGACAATTATTAATTTTTTCACAATAATAACTGACTTTACTTAAAACAAAAATTAAAAATAAACTTAGAGTAAAAGCAAGTGTTTCAATCTCACTCCCCACAAACCATGTTGGTGTGATGTGCAAAGTTCAAAGTATAATTTATGAATTAGTGTCTAAGTAACGATAAATAGCAAAGACTCTAATGTGGGATTAACTTTCACCATGTCCATTTGTTCTAACGTTTAAAATAATCTATGGATATTAACTTAACAAGAATGAAAATTTTTAATGTAAACTGACACAATAATAAAAAAAAACAAAAATTTACTTTCCCACCCCCAAACTTATGTCACACTTTGTCCTCAAGGTGTGGAAAATAAATGAAAAAAAAAACAACAAAATTAAAGAAAATAAAATTAAAGACAAAAACGAAACCTGACTAAACATAACAAATAAAAAAAATAAAAAACTAAAGAAAAGCCAAGGAAAAGTAACAAAAGAAACAAAAGTAAAGAAATGAAATCATGCACCTGGTGTTTTATTTGGAAGGTCATGGAGCCGTGACCACCTACACAAGTTGCTGAGTCGACCCATTTAACAAAAGCTAATGGAAACATTGGATGCCCCATGAGAAAGTGGCATGCAGCTGGCATGCCGATTCTGAAAAGGTGTCAGGCATGGAGCACACGGCAAAGAATGCACCAGTATGTGAAAACAGTGGATGCCCTGTTTTGAAAGGACTTGGATTCTCTGCCCTTCCAATTCGGTGCCCTTCTCATGTTCTCATGTTTGTGTGGTCACGGTTAAGTCACGTCAATATTTTATATTACTATTTTTTTTTGTCTTATTATTTTTATAAAAAACAATATAAAATGTTAGCATGGATTAACCGTGACCACACAAAACAGGAGGGCACAGGGAAAGCACCGAAATGGGAGGGCAGAGAATCCAAGTCTGTTTTGAAAGGCATACAGCAGGCATTCAATTGTTTTAAAATAAAAAAAACTGTCAGTCAAGCCAAACATGCGCCAGTCCATGTGCAAAGCAGGCGTGCACCAAAAACCGAGCACCAGTATGTGGACATGGGAGTCTCTGCGAGTTTTGATGGGGAAAGTGATGGTGTGCAGTGGCTTGTGACAAACACCACCAGTGGCCTAGGAAAACCACTTAGCAAATGCTAATTAAACATTGGATTCCCTGCGACAGGAATGGGATGCAGCTGGCATCCTCGAGCACCGAGCCGAACGGCTCCTCTAAGGCCTTTCTTTATTTTTTTTTTTCAAACCAATCCGTGTTGAGAAGGAAAAGTAATAATGACGCGTCCCAAGTCCCCATGTCTATTACCCCGAAAACCTTCAACCTCTCTCTCTCTTTAATAGCAGAAAATGTTATCAGTGCTCTTAGAAACACAAAATCCTTCTGTCTCCTATAAATTCAGCCTCCTCCTCTCTCGTTTTTTTTTCTTTTCATTTCTCTCAACCCTCACAGCCCTTTCATTTCTCGAATCTTCTCTGCCTGCAATTGAACAACGTACCTCCCCGCAGTATTGAATAGCCCATCCGTGGTAGAAATCGGAAAAACTGACAACCAAAGGTAAAATCATCCTCCAATCTTTTGTTTTCATTGCTCAGATTCATTTATTTGAGGAAAATGTACAAAATCTAACACATGCATGTGGTGTTATCTGTGGGAGGACCCCCAATCGTTGCAAATCCAAGATAGACAACACAGGGAAAATACCCCAAGTCGCCATCTCTTCTCAACCAAACCATGTGTCCCCCAAGCTTCATGCCATTACAAATTCGAGTTCCATTCAGGTAGATAGAGAACATTTCGCACAGGCAACGGTAATCATCTCCCACTGAGTTCAAGAAACATGTCTCTCAGCTTGCGAAAAATCTCTGCAAGTTATATTTGCATGATGAGTCTCTGTGGAAGCTTACACGGATGCTTTTCTTGTATTAGGTGCCCGCGATGCACAAAGAGACTGAAGAGACAGATGATCGGATCATATTTATATATATTTTTACTTTAAATTCACTCGTCTTTTCTTGGTTAGTTCCTTATATTTTTGAGCTATTTACGTTATTTTTGTGTTTATAGGATTTGTTATGCAAAGAAAATAAAAATAGAACAAGTGAAATTTTATTCGTGAAAAGCAAATTTAAATTACAATATTGCTAACCTATTGTGACGCTAAATGGTAAACCAATATTTAAACTATATATTTCATCATTTTATATTTCTTTTCTTGTCTAATTTATTTGGAAACTTTAAGTATTTATGATACTTTTGATATATTGTGTTTGTAGGAGTAACATGATCCAAAGAACTTATTTTTCTGCTATGTGGGGCTGCTAGAAACTAAATGAAAAAATAAAAGGAGAGCATCGGGAGGAGAATATAGAGAAAAGCAAGCTGCCTTTGCAGCTGGAGGAAAGCAGGTCAGCGACAAAGGGATCCAAGGAAGTAAGAAGAATTAGGGGACAACAACTGGCAAAGCAGAGGAAATGGAGGAGTCCACACGGGGGACGGAAAAAGAATCCAAAGAAGGTGTGCGAGAATAAAAGAAGTCAGACGAACGGGTGAGAAGGGGGGTCTTGGAGCGGGAGAAGGGAGCTGCCCTTTGGGCAGCTCGCAGAGACGCAGGAAGGAGAGAAGGTCAGAAAGGAGAGTAGCTGCCTTGGCAGCTGGGGGGTCTGGGAGCGGGAGAAAGGGACTGCCCTTTGGGCAGTTCGCAGAGGGACAGGAAAGAGCTGCCTTTGCAGCACAAGGAAAGAAGGCAGACAGCTGCCCTTACAGCGTGAGTGGAAAGAAACAGGCGGGATAGAGAGGAGACAGAAACTGAGGGGGACTGACGTGAGGACATGAGGATTGCAGAAAGCTGCACTTGCAGCTGGGAAGGCGCAGTCCACATGGGCAGAAGACCAGAGGCACGGGCAGACTGGCACTGAAGCACTCTTTTCTCTCGGTTAAATCTTTCCAAATTTCTATTTTATTTTTAATAATGTGTAAATAAACTGATTTTGGCTAGAGGTTAATTTAAAGCCATGATTATATCTGTAATATGAATTGATTACCTTCGGTTGTGATTTCATAAGTTGTGATTTCAATTTACTTATCCGTTCGTATAAAAACTGATTTGTGTATGTTGGTTGAGAGTGCACGCTTAATTTACATGCATGAATTTGATGCTAGAATATAAGTGAATTTCACCTAATCGTTATGAACTTATTTTCACAAGTAGTAAAGGTTGCTAGTCACAATCACGTTAAGTAAATTCTTGGCAAGAGTATCATGCTTTTTATAGTTACGAATGCCTCGTCAATGCTTATAGTTTTCACAAAGTTTAATGATCTTTGATTGTATCTCTATTGTGCTTTTCACGTAGGGGACTTTTGAAGAATGTTTTGAATTGTTGTATGCGTTTTCCCGTTCAATTAAATAACTTAAGGAAAACTTGAAGATTAAAAAAGTGCTATTCACGGTTAATCTGAAGTGTTGAAATTCACAACTTATTGAAAGAACAACTGAAAATCAATTTAGGTTGCATTTGTGTCATGTGTGGAGAAGAACCCTCTAGCTAGTCCGTCATTTATCATTTTACATTAATTTTATGTTTTTATCAATTCTGTAATTTAATTAAGTTTAATTTACTTTTCATCAAAACCAAACACCCATCCATTATTAAATTATATTATTTAGTTAGTTTTCTTTATTGTTAGTCTTTTAATTTAATTTCCGTCCATTTCAGTTCCTAGTGTTTAATTTAATTGTTTTCATTATTTTGAGTCATTTTAAGTGTGTTTCGAGTTATTAGAGTTTTTAGCCTAATTTTGTGTCCTTGAGTCTTATTTAATATTTTTAAATTAATTTAGAATAGATTAGCAATCCCTCCTAATCCCCGGCCTAGAACGATACCCTACTTACATCTATACTACAATTGTCAAAAAGAGGGTTTAATTTGTGTGTCAAGTAATTCTCGCATCAAATTTTGGCGCCGTTGCCGGGGATTAGCAACTTTGCTAATCCTTTTATTTTTGTTTTTGTTTATGTTTATATTGGTGTTTGTGTATTTTACTTTTGATATTTGATTTATTTTTCTTTCTTTGATTTTAGGTTCAAATGGAGCCGAGGGAAATTTAAAGGAAAGATGCGTCCGGCTAAAGACGTTAAATCAAGCGCTTCTTGGGAGGCAACCCAAGCATTCAACGAAGGGAGACTTTGGAATCGCTAAACCAATCAGCTTTGCATTCTTCCACCCTTATCTTTACTGCTTTCATTTTGTTTTGTTTAGTTAGTTGTGTTATTTGGTTGATTTCTGTGAGTTTGTGTTATTTAGTTTAAGTGTGGGGGAAGGTTAACCAAAGTCTCTTTACATTAATTTACATTTATATTAAAAAAAAAAAAAAAAAGATAAAAATTTAAAATTAATGAAAAAAAAAAATTAAAAAAAAAAAAATATATATATAAAAAAAAAAGTACAAATATTTTACAATGATGTAAACTAATAGTATTCATTGGTCGGGTGGTGCTTCAGTAGTAGGCGGGGCTTCAGCAGTCGGCGGGGCCACAGAAGGAGGAGGCGGCAGAGGTTGATTAGTTGGAGCTTCACTACGCGGTGCCGCTCCAGAAGACGAAGGCAGATGCGGTTGGAACAAACCCACAAACCTCCGATGATCAAGTAAAATTTGACCATCGGTGTCCTGCATCTGGTCAATCTTCCTCTTCATGCTGGTGGCATAGCTGTGTGCGAGCTTGTGCAATTCCTTATTCTCATGCTTGAGCCCTTTAATCTCTTGCTTGAGACTCTGTATTTCAGCCACCAACGATTCAACGTGACGGGTTCGAGCATATAGGCGTTGGGCCATGTTGGATACGGAACCCGCACACTGCACACTGAGAGCCAGAGACTCCTTAACCGCCAATTCATCAGACCGTCTAGCGAGCAGTCTGTTATCTTTAGGAGTGACAATGTTCCGGGCCACCACCGCTGCTGTCATATCGTTCTTCATCACCGAAGCCCCAACGGTAAGGGGACCAGTGGGGGATATGAAAGAAGGGCGCCATATGTTGTCTGGTGAAGGCGGAGCTGCCTCTTCACGAATGTTCAAGTCAAAACGTCGATCAGAAGGGCCTGCCATTTTCTGAAGGTGTTGAGAAAGGAGAGTCGGACTGATTAAGATTTTGGAAGTTTACAGGAGGGAGTGTTTACAGGAGGGTGCTCAAGTGTGTTGTGGAACAAAATTAACGCCTCTATAAAAAGAAGAAATCAAAGAGGCGCTCCTCAGAGAAGCGTCCTCTCGCAAATCGAAGAGTCGGGGCTCCTTTCTCAAACGCCTGATTCTTTTCTCAAAAGAGGAGTTTCCTTTCTCAAAAGCCGGATTCTTTTCTCAAAAGAGGCGTTTCATTTCTTAAAGGCTGGGCTTGCTCAGAAACCACGAGCCGAACCCCGGATTTCAAAAGATCAATTTGTCCAGACATGTCGTCACTTGTCACACGCAAATTGCTTTGCGGAAATCTCGGGCAGTTTGTCGTAGCACCAATTCAGAAATCAAAGAGGGAAATTCAACAGTCAAAGACACACTAGCTTTCTCAAAAGCTGGGCTTCAACCCACGAGCAAATCTTCTTTTCCTGATTTATCCGCACGTGTCACATGCTACCTCTACAATCGACGATGCTCAGAGCTCGATGCGCCGATTCCAGATATCAATGAAGAATCTGCTTTGCGGAAATCACGAATAGCTGTTAAAAAAAAAAAAATTTATGGTGAAGTGGGAAACACGTTGCACTGTTCTTCTACTCGTGTCGGTAACCCTGGGTTAATTAAACAGTACCTCTACCAGCCATTAAGAAAATTCTTTAAATGTTAAACTTCATTGCAAAGTAGCCTCACTCAAAACTTCTTCATCTCCGAGAATGCATTCCAAAAGAATCCTCCTAAGTTACTCAGTGTTCCTCATTCCTTGGGATACTCTTGCGAACAACCCATTCAAAGCAAAAGTATTTCATATCATAAAGGTTGAAAGCAAGAGTATCTCATATCATGCTTTCTCCATGTCCTTTCTCCAGCCAGCACTTGCTCTCGAGTACTCATCATCTTGTGTTTCCTCTTCGTCTCTTACGTATAAGGGAAGTGAAGATGATACCTCGAAGCATGTGGAGACAACGTGCTGATTCATCCTCAACTAAGGACAAGGAGAAAGAGAGCAAGAGGTGGGCACTTGGAAAGATTGAAGAAAGAAACAGACCAACACCTATCCCTCGTGCCTGCCCGCCATGCAGAGGAAACAAGCAGAGAAGAATGCAGCTTGCACAATCATCCCAGCAGAAGGAGTCTGAGATGAAGAACCAGAGAAGCTGCCACATCTGCTTGGAGAACAAATAAGGAACTGCAACATTCCCAAAGAGCAAAGCTCCACAGTACAATAGCATAAAATCATCACTTGCAAGTGAAAAGCTAAGTGTCACCCTGTTCAAGAGGAAAGCTGTGGAAAGTCAACAAGCACGACCAATGATTATTTATTAGTTTTATTCATTATCTTTTATCGTAATTTTCAATTTTTCGTTTGCAATTTTTTTTTTAATTAATTTTCTTGCGTTACTTAACTGAATTATTTCTTTTCTTTGCAGGAACTTTTGGTTCTTTCCACCCTTGAAGTTGATTGCAGAATTTTAGCTTGGAGGGTCATCGCTTGATTTTACTGCAAACTAGGGAAGTTTTCAGTCCAATTGCTTTATTTTGTTTCTTATTATTTATTTTATTTTATTTATTTTTATTTGCATTATAGTGTTTTCTGACATTGGGGACAATGTCAAGTTTAAGTGTGGGGGTAGAAATCTCTAGAATTTCATTTGTTTCTGTGTTGTTAGTTTTTGTTTTCTTAAAAAAAAAAATAAAAAAAAAATAAAAAAAAAATAAATAAATAATTTAAAAATCCAAAAATATTGTCTTGTTTCCCTTATTGTTTTGAATTAGATTTTGTTAGTTTCCCGACCCAATGATATAATTGGATCAAATTTGAACCATGATCATCAAGAACTTAGTTAACATGTATTTTGTGAAATTCCTAATTCTCTTGTTAGTTTTGTACATGTTTGACCATCTTTGAAAAAACCAAATGCACATAGCCTTGTTAATGTGAAACTAAAGTATGACTTAAAGTTTCATATGTGAATTTAGTGACCATATACATCCTATGTGAGTTTTTGAGCCTATTGAAAGTGTGTGCATTTTTCATACACTCCTATTCTTTCATGTGTGATGAACTTATGTGAGATACATCTCTAGAACTTGCGTAACGATCTTTCGAAATGTTTGTCATTGATTGCATGAACTTGGAAATGATAGAGGCATTAGGTTTACCACTATGGCCCAAATAACCATGTTTCCCAAAGAAAAATGATATCATTAGTTTGCCAATTTGAGCCGTGTATGTTGAACCTTTTATTTCTTATCACCAGATATGTCTACCCTTATACCTGAAACATTTTTCATTACCCTTTCCAAGCGAGCAATGCGAGATTGTCTTATGAGAAACGTTTGTGAAGTACTTTGAAGGTGTTTGGCAAAAGAATAAGTGTGGGGGTATTTCATGTTTGTATTTAAAAAAAAAAGGAAAAAAGAGAAGAAAAGAAAAAGAAAAAGAAAAATTGTACACAAAGAAAATAAAAAGTTGTTCAAGTTTCAGTTTAAGGGTGTGGTTGGAGGTGCTAGAAGAATCGCTGGAAAGATTGAGTTCTTATAAATCTAAACAAAAGAATTGCTTGCAATGTAGCTTGGAACTTGTGTTTTCCTATTCTTTCATTTCAATAACCCTCTCCCTAAACCTCATTACATCCAATAAAAGTCCTCTTGATTTAAGTTTTGCAATTATGATTGTGGAGATGAGATCTTTACGCAAGCTTATGGTAGAAATTTCACATTTGATTCTTTGAGCGAAACACATTAAAACTAAACACATGTGTGATTGAGTGCATATCCCGTGAGAAGGTCGCTAGTTTGCATATGATGATTTTAAAAATAAAAACTTGAAATTGCATTAGCATGGCTATCTCACACACTACACTTCAAGGATGATTCAAAGATTACTGCTAATATTTGAATTAGGAAGATGAACTTGGATTAACGTGTTTGGTGCTAGCTATGG